CACAGCTGAAATGAGAACTCAGCTGAAAGAGTATAAATTTATTTTTTTGGTTAAACATGGTTAATGTTGTAAAATCTACCCTTCATATTACATAGCTGCAAAGAGGCACCAAATACCATTCGTTCTGCTGTTTGTAAGGAATATTGTGCTAAGTGTACGATTTGTGCCTCATGGCTACCAGCTTTCCCTGCCCTTTCCCCAGTAAAGACTATGTGGGGAAGGAAGGATGCTCTGTAAACTGGCATGGATGCTGAGAAAGTAGTTGGTGAAAGTGTGCCTTAAACAGGGAAGGCACAGTAGCAAGGTGAACCAACCTATAAAATCTGCAAGGGTCAAGTAACGTCCACACAAGTGACCAACGGGAGTTAATGTTCCTATCTCTGTTATAATCTTAAGACCATACTGTTTTCAAAGTGTTATGGTGAAGCTAAATGAGGCAAACCCAAGTTCATCTGAACAGCAGAGTTTTGTGCTGAACTGTTTTATGAAAGACACCTGGGGAGTGCTTCAGATCTGTGTAAGTGCTGACATCCAGTAGCAGATTATACCCACCTTTGATGCATTCAGTTTTTTCACTGCATTGTTGTAATGCCTAGAAACACCAACTGAGATCAAGGGTCCAGTGTGCTTAGCACTGTAGTGATGCCTAAGCAGAAAATCCCTGCCTCTTAGCTTACAGTTTAAATAGGCAAGCTGACTAAAGGGCAAGAGAGAAGATGGGTTGACAAAGATGAAATTACTTGCTCAGCCTCATTCAAAAGAGCTAAAGCAGAAGTAGAAATAGGACCTCAAATTTGCTAGTTCAGATCTGCTTTGAGATCAACATTTTTTTCCTACTTTAAGTCCTGAAATGACTATACTCTCCATAGGAATATGAGTTGCAGCAAACATGGTATTTTAACATAAATACAGTGTCAGCATCAAACTGGGGGAGAACTGCACGTAGAAGATAGAAACACAAAAAGCTGTCATTTAAAAAAAAAACATGTCAAGTGCCTGGGACAGTGAATGGAAACTTGCTTGAAGTCACTCTACTTCCTACAATATCTTCTAGTATGTCTTGTGGAATGACTTATACTTTCCATTTCTAGTATTGCTGTTATGCTGAAGAGACAGTGATTCTTCAGGTTGTCTTCTGTGACCTGTTGACTTCTGTTTGTTGTTACCTAAAGCAAGAGTCTTCCTTAAGCTCCTTTTTTCATATGAACACCCAAATTTCACAGAAATAACAAAAATAGTACTTTAACAAATAGTCATCCCTAGGTTCGTTGTCTCTACTGCTTCAGGACAATGTTTTGTCACTCAGGTATAGGGAAATTCTTAAAGTGATCAGTGAGGTACTTTACCATAGGCTATGTGTTGGCCTTTAACAATTTTTTGCATTCCCTGGGACGTCCCTGCACTGCCTATTAATTCTTAGAGATGTAGCTGTGTTATAGAAGGG